AAGAGGTCAATGGAACTAAAGTACAGCAATAGATTTGATGAACTACTGAAAGTCACAATGTGTGCGTTACAGTTTGAATGACCCCTCCAATACCTATGATGCAGTTTAATTGCCATGGAAAGTAACAGTATTAAAAGGTGGGTGGGCACTTTCCTGGGTAATTGTGGCCTGAGAGCTTTGTCCTCGCGAATCGATTATCATGGGAGTGGGCTTATCAATGTGAGAGGGGTTCCTATAAAAAGTGCAGGTTCAGCCTGATTTTTCTCTGTCCCACATGGGACACAACACGCCCTTCTGCCTTGTTAGGCACAACTACACACCTTCACCAGATGCAGCCCCTCTATCTTGGACTTCCCCCATCCCAGAACAAACAAGTTTTTATTGCGTATAAATTACCATTTTCTGATATTCTGTTATGGCAGCAGAGAAGGAGCTAACAAGATGTATTCATAAAATAATACGGGTATAAGAAGTGACAACGCCTTTGAGAAAAATCTTACCTGTTCCTAAGGCCATAAACCAAAGAAGAAGAAAAAAGAAAGTGTCAAATGTTAAGCATTTCAGAAGTGAGCAAGCAGAAAACCAGGAGTAAATTTTTAGATAGTATCGCAAATATTCTAACGGAAGTTTTTTGCTAGGCATGATTAGATCCGAGAAAGCAGAAAGGATGCGGTAAACGGACATCAACGCCGGAGCCCAGCACTCTTTTGAAGAAAGCTCAGGGTGAATCACGGAAGGAGGACATTTTACCCCTACTTTTTCTTCTGAAGCATAATTTGGGATGTTCATGGATCCTCTGAAATTCAGATGAAGCTGGGGAGGGCGGCGCCCACTTGGAATCCCAGCTACTTGGGAATCTCAGGAGGAAGCACGGTAAATTAGAAGACTGTTTAGGCAATGTGGTGGCTTAGAGAGAGGGGGTCTCAAAAGGAAAGGAATAAAAGGAGAGGCGGGGAAGTGGCTCTGGGGTGAAGTCCATGCTTAGGGTGAGCAAGGCCCTGGGATCAGTCTCCATTAGCACCAAAAAATGAAATAACCAAAGAATTCTTTTCATAAATTCCAAAATCTCTTTTTGCCTGGTTCATCCTGAATGCATATCTCCATTCTCTCTCCACCTTGACGTACCTCCTAATATAATGTCATTTTAGGCTTGAGTTCTTAGAGGACACCCATCTTTATTTCATCACAAACCACGTGTACAGACTAACATTTAAATTTTGTTAAACGGCATTTATTACATTGTTTATTTTCTGGTTAATGTTCTACAATAATTGTTATTGGCAAATAATTGCTCTTAATGATATAAGTATATCATAAATTTAATAAATTATTTCAATATACAATTATTTCCTCAGAGTAAATGTCTTAATAAGATAAATAAGGTTATTTTTCAGTTCCTGAACTTATTCAAGGATAAATTTGAATTATCAGAAAATGACAGTTTACAGTGACTCCTACTCATACTTTTTATTTTAGTACTTGAACTATTCACAAACTTGTTTATAGTTGTGCATTGAGAGGCACAGTAGGGGTTTTAACAATATCACTCCATTATTTGAAGTCTTTCCAAATTTCATGCAAAAATAGCAAAATGGACTCTGTCAAAAATATTATTTTTTTACAAATCATTTAGCAAGTGGCTTTGGCTTTCCTTCAGATTTGTTGAAAGCAAAGAACATGGAATAATATGAATCACAAAATTATTTTTTAAAAAAACATCTTGATTGTTGAGATACTAAAAACTACTTTGTCAAATTTTTGCAAAGAACAGTCTGTTAAACTAGTGACTTGATCTCTCGGGCATGCTTTTTTGGACTTAGTAGAGTGAGAAAGGGTTTGTTCTGACCTTCAAAATGCTTACGCCCTTCAGCCCCTGCTTTTTTTTTTTTTTTTTTTTTTTTTTTTGGTTACTGGGGATTGAACTCAGGTCCTTGTCTACATATTTGAAGGTGCAGATTGAGCTCACTCCATCTATGAAAAATGTTCATCATACAGCCCAATTAGCAAAGCCCATTCCCATTTTCATGCCAAACATTCAGTTCTTTCTTTTTGTCACATAAAGTCCTATTGCATTTATCAGTTTACATAAAAGCATGATGTATTTCAAGAAGCGTTACCAAAAATATTGAAAGAATCAGATATTTGCAAGATACACTAGTAAACACTGCACATTGGATAAAAGTTTATTCAGTCAAAAAAATGAGATAATATCATCAATGTGGCATTGCCCCTATTTATCCAATGTGTGTAGCTAAAACTAAAAATTTATTAAGCAAGAAAAGCAATAAAATATATGTTACACCTGTAATTGGCTTGTGTGTATAGATTTTTGGCTTTTAGTTTATTGATAAAAATAAAAACTAAGCTATCAGAAATCCATTCCATTTGTTATATATCACTGTAAAGTTTTTCTTAGCTAGTTAATGAAACAAGTCATCATGTGTGGCCAAAACTAATAAATCTGATCCCTTCTTTCCTTTCCCCTATCCTTCCCATTTCCCCTACTCCTTTAGCCCTTTTCTTCCTATATCATATTATCAATGATATGATCTGAATCTTAATTACACTTTTCATTTTTCACACCAGAGAAACTATTTGGTATTTACACGTGTGTGTCGTATATATTTCACTTAGGAGTATGGCCTCAATGTGCATCCATTTAGTGGGAAGGGCAAGGGAAAGAAAAGAAGGGAAAAGAAAAACAATGAGAAAAGGAAAAAATGGAAACAAAGTCTTTATGAATAGGAAAGGTGAAGGGGGTGAAGGGAGGGCAGGTATAGGGGGAAAAAATAAGAACCAAGATACATTAATGCAAAGGTACAAGATCCCCGTGATGAATGTAACAGTGCTGTATCCGTAAAGAGTACCAATAAACTTCATGAGAAAAAAAAAACAAAAACTAATAGATCTGATAAGCAGAACACAATTTAACTTTTGCAACTTGGGAAGTAGAACTAATTAAAGTTTACATGTGCATAAGAGTTGCCTATCATTGGAGATAAAATTACAGATCTGAAAGAAATCTACACACATAGGTTTTATGTAGAGAATTTTATCTTAATGACATTCTGGTTATGTTCACAGATATCTTTATTACTGGGCTAAATCGATGCTGAAAAGCAAAAAGCAGTTTGAAAATGCTTACATTATAAGGATAGCTAAAAGGAAGTGCTTAAATTAAATAAGTGTCACCAAACGACAAAGATGTTAGCATCCAGTAATTTTTTTCTCTTGCACTCATAGAAATCTGTTCTAATTGTAATGCATTTCTTGCTAGGCGTCAGGGGCCAGAAGAGGTGATCTCATTAGAAGTAATTTTGCCAAATGCACACCGACCACCATACTATACCATATATATGAACCGCCTTATTGTATAAAAAGTCAAATATCCCCTTTCCATGAGCATGCTGTGTACCGCGCATAATTCTTCAAAGGCGTATCTGATAGGAGTAAACAGCCCTGTAACCTTGGGATACATTAATTTAAAAACTGAAGCAAGTTGCTTTTGTATGTCATCCCAGAGTTACCAAATGACTCACTTTTATGGTTAAAGCACCCTCCATGATCTAAAAATTCATTTTTAGAGCAACAAATTATGATTAAAAATATATAGTATTTACATTTTTTAAAAATTGATTGCAGTAAAGGACACGTTGCCATTAACACCACCACCACCCGCCCCTCCGCCAAACGTTCTCTACTCTTAGCCCAGAGTTCGCCTTTCATCCTTGCTACTTTCTGAAGCAGTTCTGAAGTCTTCTTTCGTGAGTGTTTTTAGTTTTACTCTCAGGGTTGCTTTGAGGTCCTGACCTGGTACAGAATGCTTACATTTCGTGGTCATTTTGACTTTGGGAAGACCCAGAAGTCACCCCTTCCAGATCTGGTGAATAAAGTAGCCGAAGACACCACGTAATACTGGTACTTGGCAGCAGCATTACCTGTGTTTTTGAAAGCACACCTCGTATTACACTTCGCAAAGATACTTGGCAAGTAAGACTTTCCAGAACTGTTTCGGAGAGTGCCGAGAACCACAGAATCAATAAATATGTTCAAATCAAATGAAAGTATTTTGAGGAGGATTAACGACAATTTGTCTTTTGCTCTATGAATGTTTCATCGAAATTCTCAGTGGATATTGCCATCACCCCCTTGCATTTTGAATGACTCAAAGGATTTACCCTTACCGTGGAGAAGTCTCGCCTCTGCAGTCGGCTTAGTCCATGCTTCCTAACACTGGTGTCTTCACTTATCCTTGTTACTGGCTATTTAACGATGTGAAGTTCCATGGGGACCTGAGGCCATGTGATATCTATTCAGTCTCCAACAGAAAGGAGACTAGAGGTCAATCAATAAAAACTCTATGGACATTAAGGCCAGGGTGAGCTTTCTTGTATGTAATAATACTCCGCACAAACTGTCACGCAATAATGTCGGAAGGAAAATACTTCCCGAGGACAGTGGCACCTTCACATTGTAACTGCCCTACTTCTGACTTTGCCCTGCCCTTATTTTCCCTGGACTTCCTTTTCCTGATTATAGGGAACACCTGTGAGCCACAGCTGTGAGTATGAAAAGGAACCAGCCTTCAGTGAGTCCTGTGGGTCCTTCTAGTGATTTGTCATAGCTAAGGATCGGTTGGGAGTTGGTGTTGACGGTGCGGAGGGGGCAGGGGATGCGGATCAGCGGCAGAGCGCTTGCCTCGCATGCATGAAGCTCTGAATTTGATCCCCAGCACCACCAAAGAAAACCACAAAAATAGTGAGGATGATTTTGTGAATTGTACTTCCGAATTGCACAGAGAATTTTTCATATACTACCTTTTCAGAGGCCACCCCTTTACTGATATTGAATTAGATGATACTGAACACGTGCAAACCACGGTTAATATGGATTGTTTACGTGAAGTCAGGGAGGTAACAATGAGGCCTCTGGCCACGAAAAGATCATAGGATGTGAGGGGATTTTTCTTGGGGTCGTTGCTCCCACGGTACCAGTTACTGGAGGAAAGAAGAAACATTGAATCAAAGAGGATACTACAGAAAACTGCTGTCGTAAACTGTGCTGCACATGTTTATTGACTGGGGCAGCCACCGAGGATGGAAAGTTGGAAACACATCATAGGCTGGAGAAGGCTTGTGGCCTGTATCATCCCAAGGTGAGATTCAAAAGGGGAAGATGCAAAGATTATAAAATAAGGCTTCACGAAGGAAAACCTGACCTTCCAGGAGACAAATGGACTTGTTTAAATTGTAGAAAACTATGAAAATGGGTTGTAGCCTAGCACTTAAGTATCTAATAGAAGATAAGGTCTGCTGAAAGAATACTGTATTGCTATTTCTAATTGGATTTTACATAAAATTAGAAGTGCATTCATCTAGAAAATCATTTTCTCCTAAGAATTACAAATTACTCAACACCTTATAATTAAGCTAGAGCTTAAAATTTATATATACACATCTGAATTTATATATAAATGTTTGAAAATAATTTTAATGAATTACCAATCATATTTAGTTATAATATAAACTGTGATTTACATTTGCAGAGTTGCTTAAATATCTAGGCAAAAGAAGCATTTAAAAAACATGCTAAGACCCACTTAAATTGATGCGTGACAGCGTGAACGTTTGGCATGGCCATTGGTAGATCATATTCATCTGTTTCTAAACCAACAACTGTTTTAAAAAGATGCTGCTTTCTTTGAGTAGAATTGGGAGAATCCAAAGACCATATCAACAATGAAAGGTATGGCTGTAGTACTGTAAGGGAAGTTAAGAAAAAATTTGGGGAAAAAGTATTAAAATATTTGGACACTAAATATCTACAATTAACCTGAACAATGCATATCAAATCCACTCACTGCTTAAAATTCCTGTATCAGTGAATTTTGATCTGTGTTTTCACATAATAAGGAACACTTGTACCCAGTATTCCTGATGAACGGCCAAAGTGTAGCCTCACCCCAGTGAAAGTAATCTCGGTTTATTAGTCAAGAATCTTGAGCATTCAGGCCAACTCAAGGGCCTGTCTGGAGCAGAAGAACTGGGAATGCATTAGCAACACCTGCGGTGTTTTATCTACAGTGGACCCTTGACTTAAGAACTCCACTGTTCCCCAGGAGGGTGAGTTATAACCCAAGTTGGTTGTGAGTCAGACCAGTTGAGATCTGGATGCTTACCTGGATACATGCTAGAGGTAACAAGAGGCAGATGAATCTTCCATTAACCTAGTTAACCCAAAGTGTTCATATGTCAGGCTGATCGTAACCTGAGGGTCCACTGTATTAAGGCCTTCTGCTCAGTATATTCTGTGTTATTTCACGGGAAACCAAAGCTGTTATCCATGATGAGCACTGATTGCACAGGTATATTATCTGAACCACTATTGGGTGGCAAGATCTGACCCTTTCTACCACTGCCCACTGGCAGGGAGGTACGGTAAAGAGTTTATATTTTCTTAATGATCTGTGTACTTTGATACAACTAAAAACGATATACATTCCCATGATTCTGGACATTACAGCTATCTTCTGTGGGCTTCTAGGAGTTGGCTATTTTTAAATTGCAAGGTCGTGGCAGGCATAATACATGACCCTGAATGGCCAGAGTAGATCTTTGCATGTTCTCATGTTCAGAGATGTAGTGCTGTGAGCGACAGCAGAACAACGGTGTTTTAAAATGGTTCACAAACACATCCAAGGCAACTAGTGAAGAAAGGTGACCCCATACTTCACCTGGATTCTTAAATCAGTGTCTTTTGGCAGCAGAGCTGAGCGGGGATGGGCAGGGAGAAGTGGGAAAAAGGACACAGAGAGACAACCCAAAACCTGAAATGATGAAGCTACGGGCATTCCAAGTGATTTAAATAACTCCTTTTATAAAAAAAAATCATGTATGTGCAAAGCAGCACTGTCTGACATCGCAGCGGAGAAGTGACTGTATTATTGATGGCTGTTCGAGCTCTTTCAGAGGCAGGCAATGCTGAGCACTTCTCCCACCTACAGCCTTATCGCAGTGGAGCAGCAGCCCAGAGACCATAGCTCACTCCATCTGTGTTACAGTCACCGATCTTCATGGTGAAGGTACAGCAGGTGACAGACTCCTAACCTCTGGGGAGCAGGCGCAATCAGACAGAAAAGAAATAAATACCCGGCATAAATAACTCATTACATCACCACTTTTCACCTACTGAGAGCTCTTTGGAAATTATGCATTATCAGTTTCGATTCATGCACCTTAAGTTACCTGATGTTTGAAACTGTTGAAGTATTTGGCTGGTAGCCTGATTTTTTCAGTGGATTATAGATTCTGAGTTCTTTATGACTCTTGTGTTTTTGGACTTGTTGCATTTCATTATAATGGCAGTAGCTGTTATTCAGCCTTCTGCAATTTTGCTCCATTTGTCCTGCGTAAGAAAGCCTGATGCTCAGGTGAATATTGTTGTAAAGAGTAGCAGGGAGAACATTCATCAAATTCTGTTTTAAAATGCATGTTAAAAAATGCACATTATTATTTGTTCGGGTACCACTGTTGCTTCAGTAAGATTTTGTTGTTGTTATTGTTCTGTTTGTTTGTTTGCCAATTGTTTGCTCTGCTTAGTATAAAAGAGAGGCAGGTGTTTTTGCTTCACACTTAAGTAGCTTGATAGAGCTTGATATTCTAGCCACACTAGAATAGGGAGAAGATCCAGGATTCCTTGGATGTGATGAGGTGTCTGTGTCATTCTCTTAGGTCCCCATTTTACTGGTATTTGTGTGTCATATAAATATATTCAGCGTCTTTTTTTTTTTCTGGTACTGAGTATTAAACTCAGGACTTTGTGTTTGCGAGGCAAGTGCAGCACCACTGAGATAAATCCCATATTCAGTGTCTCTTAAAGAGATTCGGATTGCTATTATGTGATATAAAAGTTCTGCTTTACAAGCCATGAAACACCAATGAGTTAATGAGTGAGAGAGAAAGAAAGAAAGAATAATTGGAAACTATAGGTTGGGGAAAGCCAGTAAAGGACTTAGAGGCGTATGTTGAGAATGCAGTAAAGAAAGTCTTTTGCCCAGCACAGTATATTCTATCACAGGCTTTTCTCCATGTCCGAGCTGGGAAAACATCGAGGGAAAAAGTAATTTATTTTCTCTCACTAAACGCTAGATTTATGACTGAGGCCCATATATCAAAAGACAGATTAACAAATGAAAAGCACATAAATTATTTAATCTATGTTTTATGTAATATGGGAGCTTTTAGAAATGAATACCCAGATATACAGGGAAAACTATTTTATGCCAAGACTGATGAAGAAATAGATAGTTCGGAAGAAACATGAATAGACGCCATGTGGTTAAGAGAAAATGGTAATAAACTGGAGGAGAACTGGCCAGGGCCATGTGTTCAGACTTTCCTTAGTATTCCTTGTGCTGTTTATTTCCTCAGGTGGTAGGGCAGGATGCTTCTAAAATGTGGGTGAGAGGACCTGTTTCCAGCGGAGGTCAGGGAACTTTTACGGCCTGTTCAAGGGAAGGTGAGTAGTGAATCATCTCTGTTCCCCAGGACAGGGGAGGGCGAGTTCAGATAAGTCCACCTGATCCTGCACTGTTCTCATTCTCCTCAGCCTGAGTGTTTGATTGTAGTAGACCCCTCTGCCCAGCGTTAGCAGGCTCTAGTGGCCCACACTTCTTGCCCCTCCAGCATTTGGCTGTGTTATATCGGAAGCAGTAGAGCTTGACTGTGTTCATTCCCGGCCAAAGTCAACAGACGCCCACTCAATTCCTCCCCTCTGAGTTACCCGTTTCTTCTCTTCAGCAAAGATGTGCTGTGTCCTCATCTCCAGTCCTGCCTGCTCAAACCTTGTCATCAGCGGGTGTCCCCCAGCCTGCCCAGCTCCCCCTTCCCTCCCTTGTAATGAATAAACACTGGATGTCCTGGGCATCCTTTGTCTTTGCTGCCCAGAGCAGCTTGGATCCGTCCAAGACTCAGTTTCTCTCAGGTCTCTGTCTGTGTGTCTTTGTTCCCTCTTTCCTACCTCGTGCACATCATACTGTCTTGAAAGGCCATGGCCAGGATTTTCGATATTGTTTCCTACATGCAACATGCCATATTTCAGGAGAGCATATTCTGAACTTTGTAACTGTATGAACTTGGGAAAATTCCACAGCAGTTGTATAAATTCCACTTTCCTCAGATGAAAAATATGCAGAAGGAGACTCAAGAGGACTGTTGTGGAGAATAAATGAGAACACTCACGTTGGCAGCATAGGCTCATGCCTGGAAACATATGTGTTTAGGAAATTCTAGCTGTTATCACCCCAATTCCCTTCCCCAAAGCCACCAAGGAAAAAACCAATTTATCTAAATTACTAACATAGTCAGTCTAATAATTCTTGGGATTTTCAGTCATGGAAAATGTCTGTTTTGTTCAGCAATTCTATTAGTTTTCATGTTCATACGGTTTGCATGCAATACTTTTGAATATTTTTTTAAGTATTCAATGCCACTCAGTCAGATTTCAAGTAGTAGAACAAGGCGTTCATTAGGGAAATAAAATCTGGGCTCAAATCGGGCAACATTTGGCAGATGACACCTTTGAAATCTTTTGTAGTATTGGCACACATGGCCTGTTTAGGATTTAATTAATGCTTCATGAATTTAATTTTCTTAGAAGTAGTTTTCATAATGTCTTCTTCCAGATACATTACTTAGTAAATAAAATTCAGCTTTTTTTTTTTTTAAAGTTGCCTGGTTTTTGGTGAAATATATTCTAAAATTGGCTTTATGTGCCATTTGAAAAGTAAATGTTACAAAATTTTAAAGGGCTACAGGATGACAGCACTTGTTCACTCTTGAATTGGTAATGAAGATTTAGTACTTAAGGTTTGTTTTAGGTAGCAACATTGTCAGTGTTTATATTTCAGATTGAGGGAAGTTTATTCCACAGATTCCTCAAATGTTTACAAAGGTAAAACACTGTGAAAAAGTAGGTACTCATTAGTGAGTGGGAAAGGACCAAGATTGAAAGTAACTTAATGTGGAATCAGAATCTGAAATACTACAAGGGCATCTTGGGTGCCTCTGCGATTCCCCAGGCTCCACATGTTGTACTCAGCAAGCTTGAAAGTCAGGTTAGGGAGAGGAGATCCAGGAGGACACAGGTCAGGAACATCTCTGGATATGTTAGGCCATTGTGGTGGAAGGAAGAGACCATGGAGATAGGGCAGGACCAGGGACACCTAGAATGAACAGGAACAATCTTTATTGAGACCAGGATAAGCCTTAGCCGAGCTAGAGGCAAGAGGAACCTGAGGTCCCCTATGTACACTTCTGAGAAATGTTAAAATTTTTATTGTTAAACCAAAAGGAAAAATTGCATAAAAGCTCTGCAGAGCGGGATGAGAAGAGGATGATTAATGTGTACTAAGCTAAAGACCAATGAGGGCAAGAAGTTTTAGTGTGCTTCTGTACAGTCTGGTGAGCATAGATAGCAATAACATACTGTATATTTCAGAAAGCCAAACGAAAGTGTTCAAATGGTTCATCATAAAGAAATAATAAGTGAGCCAGGTCTGGAGCACACACCTGCAATCCCAGCATCGAGGGAGGCTGAGGCAGGTGGACTGCCATTTTAAGGTCAGCAGGACAACTTAGTGATTGAGTGAGACCCTGTCTCAAAACAAAATCAGTAAAAAGGCTTTGGGATATAATCCAGTGCAAAGGCCCTGGATTCAATCCTAGTACAATAGAAGATAAATGCTTGTGGACAGAGATGTTTGACTCAAGAGTACATGGTGTATGTAGTACTTGTATTGAAATATTACCAGATGCTCCCATAAATATATACATTTTTATGTTTTCATGTATCCCTTAAAATGCATTTAATTTAAAAACTTGGTTATATACAAAGGCATGCATTGCCCCGTCTGTCCCTACTCTGCTCTACACTTCCTCAATCCACCTCTCTCAGAGATGTGAAACTTTTTGGCCTGGACCTGACCCGCTGGGAATAGCTTTATAGGTTTTTTTTTTTTTTTCTTGTGCGAAACAGAGGCTCAGAGAATAAACAAACAATAGAAGTCCATCTTTGCTTATAATTTTTTTTATCATGGATATTTTAGGCTGTATTTTTAGAGCAGTTTCATTTCCACACGAAAAAAATGAAGGACAGGTGCAGGGTTTCACTTTCCCCCTGCCCTCTCATAGGCAGAGTCTCCTGTGAGCAACCTCCCCCAGCAAAGTGGTACCTTTATAACAGTTGATGACCCCACACTGACCCATCATCTTTCCCCAGAGTCCATCACATTTACCTTGCCTCACTTTTGGTGGTGTGTAATTTATGGTTGGACAAGTGTATAATGTTGTGCTTACCATAGAATCATGGGGATTATGTTCATTGCTCTAAAAAGCCATTATGCTACTCCTATTCAACCATTCTTCTCCTCTAACTCTGGCATCTACTGCACTTTTTACTGTCTCAGTAGTTATGTCATATATTGGAATAACATAGCACAAACTATTTTTAAGTTATTTCTTTCATTAAGTAGTATGCAATTAAGTTTATCCTATGAGTTTTCACATCTCTTTTTCAGTATTGTATAATACTCCACTTTCTTGATGTCTACAGTTTCCTAACACAATCGCCTACTGAAAAACATTGGATTATTTCTATGCTTTGTCAACTATGAATAAAGTTGTCATCAATATCTATATGCAGGTTTTCTTATATAGATGGGATTTTCAGTCCTTTTTGTTCTATGCTAAGGAGCATAATTGCTGGATCGTATGATAATAGTATGTTTACTTTTGTAAAGAAACTTTGTAGAAAAGGTGCTCCCCCAGCACCTTGTATGGTCTATTTTTTAATCTTTTATTTTTTGAGGTTTAGCTGTGGTATGCTTAGGAGAGGGGTAGTTTTTGTTTTTCTTTTTGTTTATCACAATTATTGTGTTCTCACTTTCCCAGATCTGTGATTGGGTATCTCAGCAATTTCTGGATATTCTATGTCATTAGCTTTTCACATATTTCTTCTGTTGCTTCGTGTCATTTTCTGCCACTCTTATTCCAGTTATATGCGTTACACCTTTAATAGTTGACCCACAGTTTTTTGATATGCTGTGCTTTTCTTTCAGTTTTTTCTTTGCTTTTTAGTTTTAGAAATTTCTATCACATCCTCAAGCTCAGAGACTTTTTTTTATAATTAGCCGACTAACAAGTCCATCATAGGCAATATTCATTTCAGTTAGTAATGTTTTTATCTTTAGCCTTCATTGTTGGTTCATTAATAGCATCTCCACCTCTGTACTTACATTGCCATTTGTCCACACCTGTTGTCTACTTTCTCTATTCGAACCGTTAGCATTTCAATTATAATTGTTTTAATTTCTCAGTCCGATCATTTCAACATCCCTGCAATATCTGGTTCTGATACTTTTTCCTTCTCTTCGAAGTGTTGTTTTCCCTTTTAGTGTCTCTGGTAAATTTTTCTTGTTATCTGTGCCTTAATAATGTGGTAGTAAGGTATGTGAGGAGGGGAAACTTCTGTATTATTTTGATTTGATCTCAGTATTTTAGTGAGCTTATGCCACTTATCACAGTTTTTCTGATTTTTTCTGTCTACTTAAGTGACACAGAATGGCTAGAGTGTGCTGGAGTTGTGTATGTTCCCTTGTCATGTGGAAAGTGAAGGCTACCTATCCAGAGTTGGGTATTTTTTCCCTCGCCCCCCAGTTAGTTTTACTGTACCAAAACCCCAGCAAATTCAACTATGTTTAACTAGCTAACCAGATGCCAGAACTTGTTAAAAACGTGGTACATTGGTATATTTCAAGGTGGTTCTTTTCTCCTTCACTTACCATAAGAATTCATGGATTTTTTTTTTTCATTTGACTTTACATGAAGAACTTAGCTGAGGTAAAATTCACAGAAGCAGAGAGAGAGGTAACTGGTTCCTCTGGAGTTTTAATTCTCAGGTTTGTCTACACTAAACCTGCAGCAATTCATAAATAACAATGTTGGTTTCCTTACTGCAGCACTAGTTTCCAAGGAGGTTTCTTTTCATGAGTTTTTGCTCTAGTTAGTTGTGAATCTCTGTTTTTGCCTGTCTCTCTCTTCATTTTTGGAGGTCAGCGGTTTGCTCTGTCAGTGGTTTGCTATTAAGCCACAATAAGACTAATGTTATACAGAGAGAGCTCGTAATACTAAATTCATGCATAGTCTTACCCACATCACCATGGTTACCATATTTACGTGCACATCATGTTAGTACTTGGGTTTCTGTCCATGTGGCAAGTCCTCATCTACCAGGATTGTTAACACTGTAGTACTTAGTTAATGTGCACTGATAAATGTGAACACTTTGCATGGCTTATTTCATGGGCTGAACAGATTCCTCTGACATGAAATGTGCTATATTTTATGTCCCAAAAGAACAACCAAATGTTGTACTATTGGTGAGCAGAGCAATAAGAGATAATATCTCCTTTGCTTTGTGTATATCCCCTCAGGACCTAAACCACCAAAATCCTAGATTTC